AAAAAAAAAAACCTCTACTTATCAAAAATAAGTAAACAAGTACACAAAAACAAAACTCTAGCTTATTGGTTAGGAAAATGATGGATATTACATTTTATAAGGTCTTATTTGCATAGTATCTGAAACATTCTCTGTAAACCTAATTTTCAACACCAAAAAATATAGCCACTTAATATGGTATCTTTATCTCTACTATGGGTTAGGGAACAAAAGACCTACGAAACTTCTCATGGAATTGAGAGGAAATTTTCTTCTGCCTGATTCCTTTAGGACCTTCATAATGTCATATAGGTTGAGCATCCCTAATTCAAAACTCCAGAATGCTCTAAAATCTAAAACTTTTTGAGTGCCAGCATGATGCCATAAGTGGAAAATTTCACAACTGACATTTCAGATTTTGGATTTTTAGATTAGGAATGTTCAACCTATACAGGTATTCTGGTGATGCTACTATGCTGCTTAGTTAACCTGAACATGTTTTTTCATCATATTAATGGTATGTCATATTTTTTACTATTAAGTACTTATATGCAAATAAGTATAAGAAAATGATTGCTTATGAGTAGCGTATAAATTCAGAGTCAGGAATGCGGTGATGTCAGACAACCATAGATTGTCCATATGGGTGGCTAATATAGTGACACCTTTGCTTTATGATGGTCAATGTACACAAGCTTTGTGTCATGCACAAAATTATTAAAAATGTTATATAGGGCTGGCCCTGTGGCGCACTGCTACAGTGCGCCGCTTGGGAGCGTGGCGGCGCTCCCGCCGAGGGTTCGGATCCCACATACAGACCGGTTCCTGCTCACTGGCTGAGCGAGATGCGGGCGCAACACCGAGGGGTGCGATCCCGTTGCCAGTCCCGGTCCGGTACGGGCGCGACACTGAGGGTTCCGATCCTTGCCGGACACGAAAAAAGACAAAAAGGAAAAAAAAAATGTTATATAAAATTACCCTTAGCCTATATGTATAAGGTGTATATGAAACATAAATGAATTTTATGTTTAGACTTGGGTCCCATGCCTAAGATATCTCATTATTTACATATATAAAGTGTTGTGAAATCCAAAAAAATCTGAAGTCCAAAACACTTCTGGTCCCAAGCATTTTGGATAAGGGTACTCAACCTGTATTGCTTTTTATTTCCATACAAGAGCTATTTACTGAAGGTTTATTCTTTACCAGTCCTTGTATTAAGTGTTGCCTTATAATGTCCATACCTTTTAGTGAGCTTGTCCTCTTACTAGCAGAGAGAGACATATACTCAAACAGGTATACTATAATATTTTAGGGTAAGAAGTGCTATAATCAGACATAAATGAAATGCTTTGGAAGCAGAGAGAAGGAAGCAATAAGTTCCTCTTTGTTGGGGGCAAGTTTGCAGAAAGGGGATAGAAAGAATATAGAGAAGTTTCACAAAAAAAAAATTACAGTAGAATTGAGCATATGAAAATGAACAAGATTTCTCCATATATATAAAAGAGGATTACAGTTTAAAAAAAGCAACATAAGGGCCGGCCCAGTGGCGCACTGCTACAGTGCGCCGCTTGGGAAGTGCGGTGGCGCTGCCGCCGAGGGTTCGGATCCCACATACAGACCGGCCGCTCACTGGCTGAGCGAGGGGCGGGGGCAACCCCGGAGGGTTGCGATCCCGTGGCCGGTCCCGCTCCGGTACGGGCGCGACACTGAGGGTTGTGATCCGTTGCCGGTCACGAAAAAAAGACAAAAAAAAGGGAAAAAAAAAAAAAGCAACATAAGCAGTAGTCCACAAAAATGTAGAGAATCTAGCTGATGAGGGGGAAAAAAAAAAAAAAAAAGCAACATAAGCAGTAGTCCACAAAAATGTAGAGAATCTAGCTGATGAGGGAACAGCATGCCATTTGGTGTGTTAGGATATATGATAGATTGTGGCTTACATTTGTTTTGAAGGGCTATAAGTGCTATAGTATGATTTTATTTCATAGGTATTGGGGAATCCCTAGAGTTTGTAAGCAGAGTAATATGGTCATATTTATTTTCGGGGAATAAAATTGGTAGTATAGAAGATGGTATAGACTGAGAGCAAGGAGAACAATTAATTCAGGTGCCCAAGCAAGCAATAGGACAGCAGTATTATTAATATTATTTTTAAGGAGTCTGAGTGATCATATAGTAGTCTTTAAATTATCCTCTATGGAGCCCTAGGATGCTTCAGGAACCACATAGAAAAGGGCAAGGATGACAGTATATGTAATGCTTTGGGGCCTTACACTCTCATTTAAACTAAAGAACCTCTGATTTTATCTCCTGTACACATTGGTCTTCTGATTATAATTTTTGCCGAAATAAAGAATACTATGGCTAAAAAGCAGTTTGAAAACCATTTAGTAGCCTAACCTTTTTCCAAGAATATCTCACACACATTATCTACATAGCTCCTTCCAGGGTGCCAGGGAGCCCAAAAAGTCAATTTTGTTGTTATATAGTTTCTAGCTGATTACAGAGTTCTGCTCGCCTGGGGGAGTGTTATTAGTCCTGAGGTCACTGTTTTTTCTACCCGGTAAATGTTATGGCATTAACCTCCAACTTTTAGGTATCCACAAAAAGTTCCAGTTTCACTGTTTTTCTTTGTGGCTGGAAGGAGTTTAAATATGTATGTATATACAGTAGTCCCCTCTTATCCATTGTTTCACATTCCACAATTTCAGTTACCCATAGTCAGCCACAGTCTGAAAATATTAAATGGAAGATTCCAGAATAAACAATTCATAAATTTTAAATTGCATACTGGTCTGAATAGTGTAGTGAAGTCTTGCTTCATCTCATCTAGGAAGTGAAACATCTCTTTGTCCAGTGTATTCACGCTGTATACGCTACCCACTCATTGGACACTTAGTAGCTTTCTTGGTTATCAAATCTACTGCCACAGTATTGCAGGGCTTGTGTTGAAGTAACCCTACTATACTTAATAATGGCCCTAAAGCACAAAAGAAGTAATGCTGATAATTCAGATATGCCAAAGAGAAGCCATAAAGTGCTTCCCTTAAAAGAAAAGGTAAAAGTTCTCAATAAGGAAAAAAAAAATTGTACATTGAGGTTGCTAAGATCTACGATAAGAAGGAATCTTCTGTCTGTGTAATTGTAAAGAAGGAAAAAGAAATTTGTGCATAATATTTGTAGAGTTCAGTACTATCTGCAGTTTCAGGCATCCACTGGGGATCTTAGAACGTGCCTTCTGTGGATAAGAGGGGACTACTATACTAGATTACCATACAGAATCAAAGGGCGAATCACAAGTCCTAGTTTTTAACTTTTTTTTTTTCCTTATGGGTGGCTGGTACAGGGATCCAAACCCCTGACCTTGGTATTTTAAGGCTGTGCTCTAACCAGCTGAACTAATTGGTTGGTCCACAACTCCTGTTTTGTTTTTTTTTTTCCTTTTTGTCTTTTTTACTGACCGGTAACGGGATCGCAACCCTCGGTGCTGCGCCCGCACCGCACTCAGCCAGTGAGCGGGAACCAGTCTCCACATGGGATCCCAACCCTCGGCGGGAGCGCTGCCGCACCCCCAAGTGGCGCACTGTCCAGCACGCCACCGGGCCGGCCCACAACTCCTGGTTTTTAGGAAAATCTTAGGTATTAAGATACACTAGTTGAAGAATTGTATAATGAATAAACAATGCTAATAAATATGTCCTGGTTTTTAAGAAAATTTTAGGTATTAAGATACACTAGTTGAAGAATTGTATAATGAATAAACAATGCTAATAAATATGTCAAAATACTCCTTTTGGAATATTCTTATAATGGGAAGATGTTTGATTTCTGATTCCAAGGATTTGTGGTTTGAAATTGACTTTCTGATTTAGCCAACCTCAGGGGGTTTAGGCTAGATATTTTCAAAAGTTTGTATGGTACTGAGATTCTGCTTCAACCTGTGGAGGTGCTTTTACTTTACAAACACTTTGTCTTCCCTTTTTGTCTCTTCAGCTACATTATTGAGCAGGGGGTATGTTATTTGGTTTTGTGTGAAGCTGCCTTCCCTAAGAAGTTGGCTTTTGCCTACCTAGAAGATCTGCACTCAGAATTTGATGAACAGCATGGGAAGAAAGTGCCCACTGTGTCTAGACCCTATTCCTTTATTGAGTTTGGTGAGTTTTTGCCCCTCACTTCTCTATCAAGGGAGCAAACAATATGAAGAAGCTATCTGTTACACTGATATAGTATCGACACATTTTTTCTGGTGTTTACTTACTGAAGTTTTGGCTTCTGCCTCCTCTCCCTTCACTTCTGCCATTTTGAATGAATGAGCCCTCCTTCTCATAAGTAATTTTCTCTAGTCTTTTGATCTTTCCCCCCAAAAACTTGTTGACTTTTGCCCTTTTTGTTATTTGGTTTGATTCTTCATTAGGGTCCTGTGTGACAGGAACTGGGCTGAAAAATCTACTTGATTGGCATATAATAGCTGAGTTCATCTTTCTCCCAACCCATAGACACACACTCACAGTAAGTCTCGTTTTATGGAGATTAGGATTTGGAGATCAGAAAGAATGATATTTTGTTTCTTTTAGTAGAATAAGATCCTCTAATTAAAAAGAAAGAAAATACTAGAAGATATGTGGTATTGATGGTATTGGAGAATAATATTTTCTGCATTCTGAAGTAGCGAGTGCACAGGTGTCTGTATTTGTACCAGAATTATGGAAAGACACATCACCAGTCAAATCTGGTAAAATACAGTCACGTGCTTCATAAGAACATTTTGGCCAACAATGGATCACATATATGGCGGTGGTTGGAGCAATAGGCTATGCCATCTAGGTTTGTGTAACTACACTCTATGATGTTCACACAATGACGAAATCACTTAACACATTTCTTAGAACATATCCCTGTTTTTAAGCAATGCATGACTATCTGACGGCAATAGATCAAAGGAAATGTCTTAAGTACAGTAAGTTCAGGGAGTGAGAACAAGTAGGATCAGGCTATATTACTGAAATTTTTAGTTAAAAAAGAAGTTAGTTTTACCATCTCAGAATTTTTGGAGTGTTTCAAGTTTGCTAGACAAGTGGGTCACCTTGCTTTTTAGAAACAGAGAAAATTTGGCAAAACTCTCTAGTGTTTCACAACTACAAACTCTCCAAGTGCTAATTTATATAATGTCCAGTTTCTCAAATTTCATTTTTTTAGACAATAACCCAGGAAAAAAATAAGACATATGTATCAGGGTCACACAGGATATAGATGATATACTCAGATTAGTTTAAGGGACTATATACTTAGATACAAATGGACTGTAGGAAAATCACAGGATATGGTTACCAAGAACCAGTAACACAGTAGTTGTTACCATCCCTAGGCCTGAAAGTATAAAAGGAAGGAGGAGTTTCTGGAACTAAGAAGAATATTTATGGAAAAGACCAACTTGAGAGGAGTTAACTTTTGGTAGAGGGATATTGCCAGCCCAAATTTGGAAGTATCCAGGGGAATAAATACCCTGACATCACTCTCTGCTCTTCTTTTTCCCCACTGTTGGGGCTCCTTCATTGCCTGAACCTAACTGGAAGCCAGAGGACAAGGAGCCTATTGATTTACTCCATATAGGTCAGCTTCACAAGACAGAAAGCAAGGTAAAGAATGGTGCAGAGACCTACAGAGGCAAATTAAAGGTGTCTAGCACACATCTTAAGATGCCAGAAGATGAAAATATCTTTAGCATTAAGTTATTCTTCTTACAGTTTTTAGAAATGTAGACACAGGCTAAAGATGGATGAGACTGTGGTTTTATATTGGTATTTTGGGAAACTACCTATCATGTGTTTATTTTACCTGAGGTTTCAGAACGGGGTGAAATTGGGAATTTATGTTAAAGAAAGTACTTTCAGGCAATATTTCTCAACTTTTTAAAGATCATTAATTATTTTTCCATATTAGGCTATAATGATACTAGAGTGTTTCCAGCATCCTTTTAGGGAATGTGTAGAGTCAAGTAATAAAACCCTAAGGGTCCTCAGAAGGCAGTTTGAAAATTTCTGCTTTCAGGAGAGGCTTATTATAGTGGGTCTTAATTTCTCTAAGGATCCTGATAGCAAATACTTCTAACTCAAAGGTATCCAAAAGACATTTCTCCTGAATACTCATCTTGTTATATCTTTATATTTTACAAGTGAAGAAATCAAAGCCCAGATTTTGATACTCACCCAAGAACTTGGTTAATCATGAACAGAAACAGATACAGGAGAAAACTCAGAACTTTTGATTCTCTACTTCAGTACTTTGATGGACATGAAAGAAGTTGTTAATGGTCACTTTTCATCATTCTAGATACCTTCATTCAGAAAACCAAGAAGCTCTACATTGACAGTCGTGCTCGGAGAAACCTAGGCTCCATCAACACTGAATTGCAGGATGTGCAGAGGATTATGGTGGCCAATATTGAAGAAGTGTTACAACGGGGAGAAGCACTCTCAGGTATCTAAAAGCAATTAGAGTCTTATGAAGAAGTGGTTCTCATTCCATAGGCAAGAACACCTTATTTAAGCAGTACCTTTTATGCTGTCAGATTCTACCCAGGACTGTTAAGAATTCATCTCTCAGAAATAGATTGTGTTACAAAGCTTCCAATATGATATATTTTTTTTCCTGGCACGATTAGTTTTTGTTGAGTTGGAACAGTGTAAAAGATTCATCCATATTAGAAGCAATTACTATTTCCAAGATATTTACAACATTTATTAAATTATCTACAGAAACACTTGCACAAGTTAAGGGAAATGAAAAGAACAAGAAGAAATTGTCAAAGATTTATGGCAGTGGTTTCCTGAGTAGCCTCTTTGGGAAACTTACTGCAGCCAGATCAATCTTTATAAAATGCCATTTTCATCTAGGCATTCCTCTGCTGAGAAACTTAAATCTGAGACTATAGATAAGTCTGCTCTCAACTTACTTTTTATTCAGTCATTGTTATTAAGTGCCTGTTGTGTTTAAAGCATTGTTTTCTATATGTGGAAAATAAGGAGATTGCAAACGTCTGTCATTCTCCCTAGTTCACAAACATTTTACCTCAGCCAGGTCAGCTTCCTCACCAGCCTTAATGGTCCATTCACACCTCATGCTGCACGTGTTCTGTAAGATCTAGACAAGAACTGCCTCTTTGAAGAAGCCTTCTCTAATCCTTACAGCCCATATCACATTGATCTCTTCTGTACTTTAAAATCTTAAAGCACTTACTTACATGGTTTTTAGCACATAATTGTGTGTGTGTGAATTTATTTGCCTAATTTATCATTTAAAGTTATTGATTAAATATATATTTATATATTTACCTAATGTACCATATAAATATATATTTAATGCATATTAAATACATTTATATGTAATATATATTTAAATATGTAGTTTACATAAAGATAATTTTAATATAAATATTTAAATATATGTAAGGTGAACTAGATAAATATATATGTAAAATTAGGAATTTTTAGCTATAATTTTAAAATTGTAAGTAACGAGGCAAAATTAGGTTAAAAAAACATGTATTTACCTGATGTTTAAATATTACCTCAGTGTTTAATGTGGGCATATAAGCTCTTTAAAGGTAGTATTTATGTGTTTTATGTCTGTTTCACCTCCTTCTTATATGTATCCCTCACAGTACTGGTTACAAGTAGATTTCATAATAAGTATTTCTTGAGTTCAGCCTTGCTACATATTCATTAGTATATGAGTTTTCCTTTATTTTGAACTACAGACTTGAACCTCTATGTTAGTAGTCAGAAGTTATCTCAGCATATAGCTTCACACTCTTTAAACCACAAATTTTGAGTGAGCGAATCTAAGTTTCCATCAAAAACGACTTACAGGGGCCGGCCCTGTGGCTCACTCAGGAGAGTGCGGCACTGGCAGCACTGAGGCCGCAGGTTCAGATCCTATATAGGGATGGCTGGTGTGCTCACTGGCTGAGCATGGTGCTAACAACACCGTGCTGAGGGTTGCGATCCACTTACCGGTCAAAAAAAAAAATTGAAAAAAATAAAAAATATTAAAAAAAGACTTACAGTTTCTACCTAGCTAAAGCAGACCAGCACAGGAATTTTTCTTAAATCCAAAATTTATAATTTGTCAGTTTATCAACAGTGTATTGAAAAAAATAAAAAATATTAAAAAAAGACTTACAGTTTCTACCTAGCTAAAGTAGACCAGCACAGGAATTTTTCTTAAATCCAAAATTTATAATTTGTCAGTTTATCAACAGTGTAAAGGATTCTCTTCTAGTGCTTTGTTGTTTGCTACAAAGCTGATATGCTGATTGAAAAAGATGTACATTTCTACCCACTGATATGAAAGGCTGACTGTATAAGGGAACGAAATATCTACTGAGCACTTTGTTGTAGGTGATATGCAAGGGGGGCTTTCCATGTATCTTATTTCATCTTTATAATAATCCCATGTGAAATGGGTGGTATCAAACCAATTTTTTTTTTTTTTTTTTTTTCTTTTTTTGTCTTTTTTCGTGTC